CCCTCTCACTGTCTGTAACTCTACTGCTCAAATAAATAAATAAAAAGAAAAAAAGAAGAAAAAGAAACTGGTGCCTGGTGGGAGGTCTCTGGGGACTCTGTCCTTTAAAGGAATTAAGGTAGTGCTCAAGGGGTCATGAGTTCTTGCAAGAGCAAGTCGTTATGAAGCCTGAGCTTGACCCAAGTCTCCCTGGCTTCCCATATGGCAAAGTGACCCCCTTCTCTCCCAGGTGCTCCTGCCACTGGGACTCTGCCTTGAGGCCCTCTCCAGAGCCAAGCTGAGGCCAGAGTCATTTCTTGTAACTTGCAGGAGGGAGAGCTAAATATACCTCTTTTCTTCAGAAAGTTGACTGGTCCCAAGTATGTCTTTCCAACCACAGAAAACTGACTGATACAGGGTAAAAAACCCATGCAATACAGAACTGTTGTTGGAGTGAGAGATGATGCACACTGAGCACCCTACACACATCCTCAAATATATGAAATGGCTGGCCATTTAAATATTGATTTATTTTCTCTTATCTTGCTTTATTTTATTTCTGCCCTCCTTTTATTTTCTTCAAAGATGCATCTGTTTACTTGTAAGACAGAGTGAGAGAGAGAAAGAGATTTTCTATGTGTTGGATCACTAGCTAAATGTGCACAGTATCCTAGGTTGGGCTAGGTCAAAGCCAAGAGCCCAAAAACTCCATCCTAGTCTTCCCTTTGGGTAACAGTAACCCAAGCACTTGAGACGTCATTCTCTACATCCCAATATGTGTCAGCAGGCAGCTAGGGCAGAAGCAGAGTAGCCAGGACTCAAACTAGGCACTCCAGTATGGAATGCAGACATTCCAAGTGGCAGCTTTACCCACTGTGCCATAGCACTCGACCAACTCCTTCTCATTATTATCTACCATGTATAGTGTGGGGGAGAATCTATGGAAAGAAGGCATTCTCTACCTTCTATCGAAATCCTTCTACAATCACCATATAGAATACTCCACAGCTTTTACTAATGCTAGCTACCCATGAGTTGTAGTCAAGAAGCTACAGGGAACAGGTGACACGTGGTTTTAAATTAACAGCAACAAATAGTTACAATTATCACCAATCTGGTTTAAATTAATCAGATGGCCAAAGTGGAAGTAAAATGAAAATGTGCCTTGCTGGTGAGTGGGGCCTCAACCCCACAGTGTTGTTGGGAGCAGAAGTTGGTACAAGTTTGAGACACTGCAGAAATAAATATGGCAAAAGACCTACAAATATGTAACTCTTTGTCCTGGAACTGGCATCTGAAGGAATTTTTCCTAAGGATATAATCAGCTGTGTTCACAAAGATCTATGTGCAAAAATGTCCTTACATGCTTAATTGTAATAGTTTAACAATGATAACTAGCTAGGTGTTCAAATAGATTTGTTTATTGCAGTATGTCTATATAAGAGAGTACCCTGCTGTTCATAGAAATGATGATATGAACTCATATTAATTTATATAGAATGGGGGCTGGCACTATGGCATACCAGGTAAAGCCACTGCCTGCCATACTGGCATGCTCTATGTGTGCCAGTTTGAGTCCCAGCTGCTCTACTTCCAATCAATCTCCCTGCTAATATGTCTGGAAAAGCAGCGGAGCATGATCCATGTGCTTGGGTTTCTGCACCCCCATGGGAGACACAGAAGAAGATTTTGGCTCCTGGCTTTAGATCTGCCCAGCTCTGGCCATTGTGGATATTTGGAGATTGAACCAACAGATGGAAGATTCTTTCTCTCTCTGTGTAATTCTGCCTTTCAAATAAATGAATATTTTTAAAAATTTATATAGGATATCATGTGTGCCTTATTTCTGTGTGAAACACAGGCTGCAAAGCCATACTCCAGGGCAATGAACCCCTTCCTAAGTTCTGAAGGGATAGAAAGACCTGCTCAATAATTCCAGAATTTCAGGTAGGTAAAGAAGAGATGCCATTATCCATTCTTTAGTTGATTGACATCTGGGTTAATTCCATATCTTAGCTATTGTAAATTGAGCTGCGGTGGGTCTTAGTGAAAAATATGAATGGGAATAGGAGAGAGAGGAGGAAAAAGGGTGGGAGTGTGAGTGGGAGGGAGGGAAGGATGGGAAGAATCACTATGTCCCTAAATTTGTATATATGAAATGCATGAAGTTTATAAACCTTAAGAAAGGTTTCTAGGTAAAATAAACAAACACATAAGTAAATAGTATATTCCAAAGAGAGAGAGAGAGAGAGGGGGGGGGTGGGGGAGAGAGGAGATGTAGTCCTTTTTCCCTTTGTAAACAGAATGATTTAGTGATAAATCACATTGAAGTCCCACATTGAAGTACCTGGGTTTGATTCCTAGCTCTGACTCCTGACTCCAGCTTACTGTCAATGCAGAACCTGGGAAGCCATGGTGGTGGATCAGGTAAATGGGTTCCTGCTACCCACACAGGGGTCCTGGATTGAGTTTCTGGCTCTTGACTTTGGCCACAGCCAAGTGCCCTACATTGTGATCATTTAGGGAATCAGTAAACAGGAGCTCTATCTTTCTCTCTTTATCTTTGCCTCTCAAATAAATAAGTAGGAAAAAATTCTCCTTTGAACTGTTTCTCATTATAACATAGATTTTGGACCTTCATTGCTGGGATGAGGACTGTGAGTAAGGATACTCCTACCTGCTGGGCACCTAAGATTTAGTTCCTCGTTTGGTACAAGGAACTAAGACTGCCTTTTCCTTCAGTCCTTCTATCAGCCTTAGAAGTTCAGGATCTTCCTGCAAATTTTTCCAGCTGTGAAACTGAAACTACAGAAATTGACCAGCCCCACGGGATACCATGACTAGTAAGTAACAGAATCAAGTCCTCACCGCATGGGCTGCTCCCAAATCCATGCTCCTCCCATTCAATATGCTCAGGGAGTTTAAGACAATTGTTTTTTTGGGGAAATGCATGTACAAAAGAAATTGTGTAGCAAAATTAATATCACAGGATACATGTTCTAAAGTAATTCACATAGAGTGAACATACTCCTATTCCAAACTCAATCCTTACAAAACTAAAGCAACGGGGCCAGAGTTTTGGCTCAGTGAGCTGGGCTGCCATTTTTGTTGCCAGCATTCCATATCAGAGTGCCTGTTAGAATCCTGGCTGCTCTGCTTCCAATCTAGCTTCCTGCTCATGTTGCTGGGAAAGCATGAGAGTATAGCCCAAGTGCCTGGGCCCCTGCCACCCTAATGGGAGACCCGAATGGAGCTCCTAGTTCCTATCTTGGACCTGGAGTAGCCCCAGCTGTTGGCTATTGTGGCCATTTGGATAGAAAATATCTCTATCTCACTCTCTCTCTCCTCCTGTTTCCTCCTCCCCCAAATTCTGCTTCTCAAATAAATTTTAAAAAAAGAAAACTAGAAGCAATACAATGAAAAATGGAGGAGCAGTTTCTGGAGACAAACGCCCCGAGAATAGCACCAACAGTGACACATGTAAGCTTGACAGCCCGAGGAGAGGAAGATACATGTAACACAAACACTGAATCCTGCAGGGTATGCTGGGAAGTACGGGCACTGACCATCGCTTCTCATCTAACCAGTCCTCTGAGCATGGCTGAGTCCAAGGAGAGAATTGATTTTCACAAAGATGATCCTGAGTCATCAAGAAAAGGTTATATTTTGTGTTCAGAACTTTCTGTTTAAGAAGGCAAGGAGGCATGTAATCCATTTGAGAAAGATTTTCATTTCAAGTAGTTAAAAAAATCTTTGCAAAGATCTTTGGTGGTTAAAGGGATAAGTGACAGTTATCTGGAAAATTCACTTATGTGGAACAACTCTTCCCCGAAGATTTCAGATTAGCCAAGCAGTACCTTGTATTTAGTTAGATTCCCATCACTTCCCCTTCGTTGACATTTCATTTTCTATTGTTTTTCCTCCAGGTATTTCAGATTCCTAACCCCCAGGCACTGGGTTATATGCTTCTTGAGACTAGAGTTTTGCAACTCTCTTTCTTAGATGCTCCCTCCCCTTGTGGTTTCTTTTTCTTTTCTTTTTTTTTTTTTTTTGCCATGAAATAACTGAAGAATGGATAGTCACAAGAATGAATGAATGACAGAAAAGTAATAAATTCTGACCCCTCCCCTCCTGATCTTTGCAATAACTTAGATTTTCATAACCAGTCCTAGAGTTCTTCTGTTTTATTTTTCCAGTATGTTAATAACTGAATCAACTATTCAATCAAAAAAGGAAAAAAAGCCATAAGAAAAATTAATAAATAAGGCCAGTCTCACTGTTCCAAAAGCAATATTATCTTGAATGTCCTATTTACTTTCATTTACTTAAAAGGGAGAGAAAGGGGAAAGAGAGAGATCCCATTCACAGGTTCATTCCCCAAATGCTTGCAAAAAGCAAGGCTGGGACAGGCCAAAGCCAGGAGCCTGTAACTCCATCTGGTCTCCCATGTGGGTTGTAGGTCCCCAAGCACTTAGTCATCATTTGCTGCCTCATGGGATACATTAGCAGGAAGCTGCACCAGAAAGAATGCAGCTAGCTCCGCCTTGAATCAGCACTTGATATAGAATATAGACTACAACACCCACCCCTACTTGATCTTTACAAGAGACATTTTGCTGATACCTCCACATTTCAGATAACAAGAATACTGCAAACATGCAGGAAGGCCCCTGCCTGCCGAATACTGCACCCTTATGCACCCTTTGTCCCAGATACAATTCATTACTCCTGGTTGAATGTGCTGAGATCCTTGGTGGCTTCTCAATCCCAGAAAAATAGTCTTCTCCAGTGTCACACTTCCTTTGGCTCCCTCAAGCCCCTCTTCCACTGCCAGTGCTCTCAGAGACTTGTTCACCCTCACAGTGGTTGTGGGATGGCCTTTGTACTTTTTTCAAGGTTGCGGAGCAAAACTTGAGAGGCTACAGGCATCAGAGCAATATCCCCTTCTTGTCAAATGTCAATGTCTCAGGCATTCCATGGAGAAGCGTCCTACAGAGCGTCAGGGGCAGGGTAAGCCTTACCTGGTGTGTTGAGCAGGCGAGACCTCCTGCAGTGATAGGCCATCTCCTGCTCGCAGTGCTCTGAGCCATCGATCATGGCCTCCAGCTGGTCCATGCTGCCGCCGTAGTCCAAGGTAGTGGTATCGGGCTTCTCAGGACTGGAGCCCCGCACTCGGGTCAGCTCTGTATTGTTGTGCTGCACCAGCGTCCAGATCTTGTCCTCTATTCAGACAACACAACACCAAGCAAGAAAGGTGAGAAGAAAGATTGAAAAAGGAAAATGCAAGTAGTGTGAGGAGTCACTCAACAGGCAGCTGTTAATCACCCCTTGCATGCTCCACTTTCGCCAACAGGGGGACCACAGAGCTTTTGTTCCCTAGCAGCTCCTCCTGGAGTTAGTATGGGAGTTAATAATAACCTTGAAGATCCTTATCCCATGTTTTTTTTTAAGCACCCAATATCCATTATCTCACTTAAAATTAAGCCATTATCTTATTTGAAATGATCTCATTATCTCATTTAAAACTGACAATGCAGCTATCCTCCCATATGCATGAAAGTTTTATTCCAGGACCCCTGTGGATATCCAAGAAGTTCCCATTCCTTACATGAAATGATGTAGTATTTGCATATAACCTACACACACCTTCCCATATACTTTAAATGATTTCTAGATTGCTTATACTACTTGACACATGTAAATACTATGGAAATAGTTGTACTATATTATTTTTAGAATAATAACTAAAAAAAGTTCCAATATGTTCACCACGGCCACAGATTTTTTAAAAATTTATTTATTTATTTGAAAGCCAGAGTTACAGAAAGAGAGAGAGAGAGAGAGATCTTCCATCCACAATTTCCCTCTCCAAGTGGCTGCAATAGCCAGGGCTGGGCCAAGTTGAAGCCAGGAGCCAGGAAGTCCATCTGGGTCCCCCATGTGGGTGGCAGGGGCCCAAGCACTTGGGCCATCTTCCACCACTTTCCCAGGCACATCAGCAAGGAGCTAGATGAGAAGTGGATCAGCTGAGACTCGAGCCAGCACCCATGTGGGATGGCAGTGTCACAGGTGGAAGCTTTACCTGCTGCACCACAGTGCCAGCCCCCATGGTTTGCTCTAAAGTATTTTCAGTTGTTGTTTCTCCAAAGTATTTTCAGTCCTAGGTTGGTTGAGTCCTTGGATGTAGAAGTACAGGGGGATGACTGAACTCAAACTGAAAATCAGTCAATATTGACATATCAAAAGTGAGAAAAATGTGCACATGGAGAATGAGGTAGCTCACCCAAGGTTACACAATCAGTAAGTGACCCAAGAAAGTGTTTAACCAAGGGTATCTGGTTCCTTCTTGCTACTGGCACACTTCCTTGACACAGCATCATCAGCACAGATAATATTCTCAGAGAAGTATAGGTATTGTATTGAAAATAGCACAGAGCACATAGAAAATACCTACAAAAGATGCACTGTTGACAAGACTGCAATTGTGCAGTCCACATCATATATGCAGTGCACTTAATTGCAATTTTAAAAATTATTTATTCTCCAAGTTATCTTTCTTTGTCAGAAAAATATGTTAAGATTTACAAAAAGAGAACCATGCAAACAGGAAGACCTTTATGTCAGGAAGGAAGGATATGTTTTACACTTGGAAGGCAAGAAGAGAAGAGAGGAATATGAGTTGTAGAGTTTGAGAAATTCTATTTGAAAACTATTTCAGCCAACAATAAGCTTGGACAAGTCACTTCAGTTTTCAAAAGTTTGGTTAAAACTACAAAACAACAATGACAATAAAAATCGGGCAGAAACAGCAGCAATGCCATGACAGGACTGCTCATATGGAATAGCAACCAAAAATACAAGGCCAGAAGGCATTATCTGTGATGTATCAGACACTCTGTGACAATAACCTGGGCTTAAGCATTTACTGCAATTGGACATGCAATTTAATTCTGAACATCCTCACAAATAAAGCAAAAGAGGAAACAGGAAGACTGGAAAAGCTTTTGTCATTTGAGTATCTTGCCCACATAATAGCATCATTACTCTTCATAGACTCTGAGACCTGAAAAGAACCTAACGTGGAAGTCATGTGGTTTCCTCCCTCTTCCACGCCCTCAGTTATGGGGAAGCTAAGGTCTAGAAGGTAAAGAAATGGATCAAGGCACATCTATCAGCCAGGAACCTTGAGCACATGTCCTGAAGGTAACCACTATTAATTAACATCAGCTTACATGTCCTGAATGCAATCTGGATTACATAGCATTACTCAGAAGCAGGATCTTAGCTGCTGGCAATGACTTGGCTGAAAAAAGAAGAAAGTGACCACAGAGATGTTCGTAGTCAATCCTTTCTCTATCACTAACTCTGCACACAGCTTGGGTAAAGCCATTTCACCTGCCCACACTTCAACTTCAACAAATTAGGAGGAGGAGGAAGAAACACAAGGTTTGGTTTTCATGATCTCTGAAGGATTTTCCAGCTCTAAAAGAGGGAACTCGCCCTGTGGCACATGCTCACTATGCTCAGACATTGACTCATCACTGCTCCCTAATTCAGTCCCTGAGTGACCTCCACGTCCCCCAGCTTTTATTGACAGGATCACATTTTCTAGAAAGACTATTGAAAAAAAGTGGTTTGTTTTATGATTTATGTAAATTTATTGCAAGATTTCTTTCTTTAAGAGGCAAAGTTACAGACAAAAAGAGGGAGAAACTAAGGGAAAAGTCTTCTAGCTGCTTGTTCACTCCTCAAAAGGCCGCAACGGCCAGAGCTGGGCTGAAGCCAGGAGCCAAGAGTTTCTTCTGGGTCTCCTACATGGGTGGAGGGGCCAAAGCACTTGGGTCATCCTCCACCAGCTTCCCAGGCCATAAGTAGAGACCTGGATAGGAAGAGGAGCAGCCAGGACACGAACTGGCACCCATATGGGATGCTAGCACCACAGGCAGAGGCTTAGCCTACTATAACACAGTGCCAGCCCAGGTTTTGAATTTTAAAATAAAAATAACACATGATTCATATCAGCAAAGATTACAGCAATAATTAACTCAGAACTCAAAAAAATGTTACCAACATAGACAAAGACTGATAAAATGACCAAAGGAAAGTTACAGCTTAACTTTTTGAAACATGGTAGAGGAAGAACTAAAAATAGACAGTTTTGAAATGCCCAGATAATTAATAAAAAGAAAAGGAAAACCTAGCCAAATCTGTAGTAGTAGATGGTATGCTAGCACTCCATACTAGGAACTTTACATAGACAACACTCAGAACATCCTACCACAGACCACATCACTATAAATGATAAACATTGCCAACCATAGTACAGAATAATGGATAGGAGGAGAAATGATGGCTAGAACCCTTGAATTGCTTAGGTGGCTTTCATCTGAGCTCAGCTTTGGAGGCTGACGCTCTTGAGGTCTAACCTAGGATGATGAAGCGTAGTTCTTAGCTGGAGGAAGCCTAGGTGAAGCTCAGCTCTGAGAATTTTCAAGTAAGTAGTATCTATCGTGAACATCCTTATAGGTGGATGTGGGAGAGGTGGAGATGTACTCCCCAGTGGACCAAAACATGGATCTACAAGTGACCAAATAAAATTGGACCCAGGAAGCTAATGTTCATGGTAGTAATTTAGTCTGTGGGCAGTGACTATTAGTATACACAGCTTGGGTCTAGAATCAGGAGACCAAGTTTGTATGCCAGCCCAGTACTTACAGGTTCAGCAATCTTGGACCAGTTATTGACTCCCTAAAGCCAAGATTTGAAACGCAGCAATGGCATTAGTGATAGTATCAAACAGTTTGACTAGCTTTGGGAATAAGCATACCCGGTTTGAAATCTATGTTTTGCTCTGCGTCAGCAGTGAAACTATGTGCAAGTTATCTTATATCTCTGATATTTCCTCATTGAGAATGGGTATACTAACTTCAGTCTTTTCACTCAAGATAATATCACTATGATTAACTGTCATGGTTCACAGGAACACATAACACCTTGTCTGGCACTCAAAGGAGAGAAGAATATGTACCGGGTAATAGGCATTGTGGTACGGTGGACTGAGCTGCTGTTTGGGAGGCTTACATACTATTTCAGAGTGTTGGTTCAAATCACACCTACTCTACCTTCAATCCAGCTTCTTGCTAATGCATCCTGAGAAGCAGCAGACAATGAGTTATGTGCTTGCATCCATGCCACCTAAATGGGAAATCCAGATGGAGTTCTTGGCTTCTGGCTTCAACCTTGTCCAGTTCTGGCTGTTATAGCCACATGTAGGGAATGACCAGGGGATGGAAGATTTCTCTCTCCCTCTCCCTCTCCCTCTCTCTCTCCCTTTCAAATAAATAGAAAACATTTAAAAATATATGTCTTAAATCATTACTGTATCATTAGAATGACAACCTGGGAACATCATTCCTTTGGGAATTTGGGGAGAGGAGGGAGTTGATGCTGCGTATGGGTTTTAAAGTATGATGGACTGAGATTTCTTTGAATATAGCTTACTGCAGCGTATAGTAAATCAATTTCTACCTTGTTCATTTATTGATTCTCAGTGGAAAAGCCTCCCATGTCTATTTATTCATGCACCTTGCACTTCCTGAAATTTACTCAACACATTTTTTTTTTTTTGGTGGGCCCTGAAACTTGGAAAAATGCTGCCCTCTGATCCTGTATTTTTCCATTCAGGTCCCTCTCCTGCATTTCCACTGTGGATCCCCACTATTCAGTCCCCTGATGAGAAACAAAACCTCACTGCTCTAATAGACCAAATCTCTTTCCCTTAGAAAGGACTGCATTTGGAGATTTTTGAACAGGCAGGTAGCTATTCACTACTAGTTTAGGAGGGAAATAGGGCTACTTCACTGAAACTCCTGGTTAGCTTACAGTTACAGTTATTATATACTTAAATGATTGCTTTTCGAAAGCTGTATTCAGCTCAGTGGGTTGGTACGAGGATGAATGGTCTCATGACTCCAATCCACTCCAGCTCTGGTGCCACCTTACAGGCCAAGGAGACACAGGCCATGGATCATCAGATCACATGCGTCAAGAAGTTGTAAAGCATCATCTGGCAGACATAACCATAAATTGTTATGTGAACCAGCATTTTTTCCCCAAATTGCAGTGTGATGTGTTGCTTTCAAGCCTATCTCCACAGGAGCTAGTAGATCTTCTAAGATGTGAAATGTATCCAAATGAGCACACATACTCAGGAGGAAACCAC